ATTAAATTCACTGAATCCAGGAGACACAATTTAGTGAGTAGAAAGTATAGAAAATTGTGTAAAAATGTAATGAGTAGAAGAAAAATGTACGCTGAAAAATAATTACTCAAGTAAAGTACAGATACCCAAAAATTCTACTTAAGTACAGTAACGAAGTATTTGTACTTAGTTACTTTACAACTCTGCTCTGTTTCCTCCGTCCCAAACCGCCCGTCACAAAAATTAACGCCCGTCATTACAAATTTCTTTTTCGTCCGGTTTTTTATGCAAACAAACCTTAATGTGTTTAAATCTACAGGGTTTCTGTCACATTGTCACATGTCAGTGCAGTACAAATTCATTTGCCTCATTAACTTTTATGAAATTCCTCCAGATTCCTTAAAATATTCCACAATACAATAGATTCTAAATAAATAAAAACTCATTCTGAGCTTTTTAAAGATGGGCTGTTTCAAAGTTGTTCACTGATTTTGTCACATATTTGTTGACAAACCAAAGACAATCTGTAAAAAAAAAAACACATCTATTTCTGGTTCTGTGATAAATCAGGATTACAGGAATGTAGCATCTGTTTTAAATTTATATTTCTCACTGTCCCAACAGTTTTCAGGAAGAGTTACATACCACTGAGTTTTAGTGATTTATTTTTTACTGACTCTTTTCTATTTTCTACTGACCTTTTAAGGACAACAGAGCTGCTTCATGGAAGAAGAACCTCTGCTTAGCCTGTTAGCCTTCGCGCTAGCGCCAACACTATTGCCTTATATGTATTAGCTTGGTGCTAGTGCAACAAACAAGCTAAACTGAGGTCCTCCATCCATATTTTCAGTTACAGACTGAGTCATTTCTACCTTCTCCTCTCTGTCAACACTCTCTGGTTTCATTTAAAAGAGTCGATCATCAGATATTGTCCAAGATTAACCTTCAGGGTGGATATAGCTTGCTAGCAGCCTCGCACCGAGGACCTACCCACATCGTCATTTACCCAGAATGCTTTGCATGTAAATAAAATGGCCCTGTCCGTGTAATATATTTTTAAATTTGTAGTTTAAAAATTATAAAAACTAAACATCCTCAGAGGTGCCAACCATTACGATCTCACCGTAATCATTACGATATTGAGACCCGCTCTGAAACATTACGGCGTACTAGACGTTTATTACGATCTGGCCTTGTGCCGAGCTCCTGGGAACCCCCCTCCCGCTGCATTTTTCCACCTACGCGGTTCGGTTTGGCTCCGCCCACTCCGCACCCATTTTCGGTCTTTCCGCTGTGACTCCCAGTCGCACTCTGCCCACTTTTTCGGACCTCCACCCGAGGTCGTACTGCGGCCGGCACCGTTTGGGGCGTGGAGGTGCTGAAGCGTGTAGCAGTCACGATTGGCCAGTGAAGCTGCTTGGATGACGTAGTTCCAAATGATGGCAGATGGCTGGGAGAAGCTAAAAATATATTGAGCCAGTTTTCAGAGCAGTGAAGGACCACAACAACAGTGGCTCAAAGCAGTGGGACTAGAGCTGCTGTGGGTAAATGGAGGGGATCGCTCTCTACAGCCACCGGTTAATTAGCTAGCTTGCTGCTGCTACTGTAGACTGGTCTCGTCACAAACTTCATCTGCAGACGGTGAGTGCTTCGTGCATTTAGTTAGATATTGACTATAATTTAACACGTCTCGCTTGTGAAACTGTACCTTTTATTTATAAAGTTTGTTCTGATGTGTCCTGTGCGTGTTCGTTTCCGATGCTAACTAGTTAGTGGCTTCACATTTATTGGAATTAGTAATTAATTATGACCGTATTTGAGGCTAATCGATGGTTTTCTGTCCAGAGTCACCTTCGACAAGTGACCACTGAGCTCCTGGACCGTTTCTCCACCTTCTCCTGCGTCTATCGGTACCAGCTGCCCTGCTATCCGTGTCAGGCAGCCAGAGGCTGGGCAGCGACAGGAGAGCAGCGCCCGGAGCTGCTCCGGTTACATTCAGACTTTAAAGTACTTTTTTAGGTGGTTGTGTGGTTTTTAAAATGTAGTTATATATTGTCTGTCTTCTATTTTGTGAAATAAATATACTATTGGCATTGCTGTTTGTTTTTCATTGAGTTAAATCCATAAAGAAAATCAACATATTTACTCACAGTCCTAGGCATAAAGTGTGCAGTAACTGTAATATCATTTATTAGAAAATCATTTTGGTTTTGTTTTACTGCATTTATAAGCAATGGTTTGCTGTAGCAGGGTATTTAGTCTGTAAATAATAATCATACCCTGCTACAGCAAACCATTGCTTATAAATGCAGTAAAACAAAACGAAAATGATTTTCTAATAAATGAAATTACAGTTACTGCACACTTCATGCCTAGGAGTGTGAGTAAATATAATGATTTTTTTTCTTTATGGATTTAACTCAATGAAAAACAAACAGCAATGCCAATAGTATCTTTATTTCACAAAATAAAAGTCAGACAATATAAACAGCAGCTACTTTTAAAAGACGTTACCGCTCCGAACCAGCAGAACTGAGCCGAGAGGAGCCGGACTCAGTAATGGAAAAGACTATTCTACTTAATCTGTTATTATTTTTAAAAAGACAAATATAGTTTCCTCCTTATTCAGTTTAAATATTGTGACAAGAATTCGCTGTGACTACAAATTCATCTTCAGCTGTTGAGTCTGATTATAGAAGGATGAATGAATAAAGGAGGCCCAATAATAGGATAGATGTATGTACTGTTTAGCAAAGTTATGTTCATAAAACACCCATTTTATAAACTCTGTTTTAGCACTTGTTACTTATAATCTCTCCATCTAGAAATAAGTAGGTTTGTATGAATACTTTGAAGTTTAAAGATATAAATTCCATATATTTTTTATTATGCGCACAAACTGCCAAAAACGAACTCACGCCGCGCGACACAAATGCTCCGAGACAATCATTATGATTTGGGATGACTCCAGGTTGGCACCTCTGCATCCTACAGTCTTTTTACAGTCTTTATTTTACAGTTAAAATATATGTTTATTAAATAAAGTCTAATGTTACAACTAATCAGGGATCCCTTTAAGGTGTTTTTTTTTTCTTGTGAATCAGTCTCAGGTGAATAACTGTAAATAAGACTAAGTGCTGCCTCGTTACTCAAACATGCTTTCTGCTAAATGCTAAGTAGCAACACCTTCACTAAAACATTGGGCCTCATGCAAGAACCATTCGTACGCACAGATTTGTTCTTAAGTTGTGCGTACGAGTGATTTAGGAGAATTTGTGGCATTCACCAATGTTTTCTTTTTCAGATACGAACAAAATTTACGAGTGGTCCAGACCTGTCGTATATTTTACGTGAAGTCAGTCTGCTGTTATCCAG